ACATTTTTATTAATAATTAGTTCATCAAAATAGTATATTATTACCTTATAAAAAATATGGTTCTTATGTTGCATTAATAAATATGAATTAAGTTTCATATACATATGTTTTTTTTTATTTTTACAATGCAATATATTTCATAAATATATTTAATTTTACAAACACTTTAGATAATAGATAATATGGAAAATAAATAATTTTAATTGACTAAAAACTGAATAATTTGGAAAAATATATATATATATGTCAAAATATACAATATATAAATATGGTAATATGTTCAACAAAAAAAAGTAGCTGTAAATTCATTGTTATCAGCAATATATTTATTTAATGATATAAGCATATAGTTTTATTAAAAGTTAGTTTTAAATTATAGAAATTAAAAAAATGATTAATAAACAAAAACATACTATACGAATACTTTATATAACAAATATTATAAGGAATAAACTATACAGATATAGATAAACAATTGTATACACAGAATTATAATAAAATGATATATATGATGTAAAAAATCTAACAATAATGGATTTTAAAATAATAAATAAAGATATATATATATAAAAAGATAAATTTTTATATGATAATAAAGCACATATACATAATAAAAATAAAGGAAGTATAATATCATTTACCTACCATGTACATATTTTATATAACACATAAATTAAAAGTACAGAAATAATACGATTAATTCAATAATTAAAATATAATTGTAAATAATGATCATTAAAATCGAACTAATCCTTAATATAAAAGGATCAAATATAAAATATATGGAATAAAGCAACACACATATTTCTAAAAATAAAATATAATCAATTAAGACATACCCCTTTATCCTTAACATACGAACATAAATACGTAAGCGTGAAACCTAAGTCTTAAACATATAACGTAAACGTAATATTAAAACATGATCCCAAGATAAATATACCATAATACCTAAAAGAAAAAAGTAAGAATTAATAACTACAATCTAAAAACTGAAACCTAAAATTAAAACAATAAAATCTGAATACAAAGGGTAAACTCTAACCGTGAACACAGAACCCAGAATACTAAACCTTAATCCCTAAATCCTTGAAGATATTTATACAATTATAATTTATTCTAATGGTTTTCTTACAATGTGTCACGTAGAATATAATTATTTTTATATAATTAAGGTATTTTAATGTATTTAATAAAGAAATATTAAGAAACTCTAATTCATATGAAAATTGTAAGAATTCTTGATTTCATTCAACCAACAATAGAATGAACATACCGAACATATATAACAATGATTTTTCATTATCATACAACAGAATATTATTAATTAGATTTTATAATATATAATTAAAATATTTTTTTCCAATAAATTGTATTATGAAAAAAATATAAAAGGAAATTTTACAAGAACTATATATTTTAAAATATAATATGTGAACTATTATAAGCAAAGTATATTATAAACATATATTAAAGTTTGAACAAAGAGATATACTATACTAAAAGCAAAATATAATCAATAATACATATACATTATAATAGAATTATTTTAAAAATAAATTTATTCATTATTTATATTTCTCATATTTCTTTATACTATGGTAATACTATTTATAATAAATATTGTAAATTCAAATGTATCACATTTTTTTGTTCAAAATAAAACTATATTCATATATTTTTGATATGCATTGAGAGGATGAAATAATATAATTTTTTATGTATTTAAATATAACTGCAACAATTTAGGATAACTAATGTATATATAGTTATAATGTATTACTTTTTATTTTCAAGAAATTTATGTTCCAGATATTATTATTAGTGAATATGTTCTTTTGTGTGACAATTATCTGAATTACTATAATAATATAGAGTATAAGTATATAACTTTTTATCATATGCATATAGATGTATAAACTAACCTGTTAATGTATTGCTGATTATGTGTAATATATATATACTTCAAATATAGTCAATTAATGAGAATAGAATTTCATGTATTACACAGATATTAGTCAGTAAAAAAAATTATTCATATTATTACAAATACCTAATAAACATAAGCTGCATAAATATGAATTATTTTTCGATGAATCATTGACCTTTTAATAACATACTTATATATGTTTTCAAATAATATTTCTATCAATTTTGTTTTCTGTCAGTAAAATACTTTATTGCATTCAATATATTAATTAGATATATTATTGCATAATTTTTTAAAACTTTATAATACATAAATGCAACATTTTATTTTTTTTTCGTTATTGAACTTTTAAAAAAATTTACTAAATATATAATTATGGGTTTTATTAGCTAAAAATAATTAAACTTATATGACATATAATGGTATATTTAATTGAATTAGATGTTATGTTGTTATAGAATAAATATCAAAGAAGAACTTTAGAAATATAACATTATAGGAAATGTATATAAAATCACATACATGAAATATTACCATTCGAAAAAATGTGCATACGTGTGCATTATATAATAAAATGAATGTTAAAGTAAATTTTATATATACATAATAAATAATGGAAATAAGATAAATTACACATTAAGCAAAGAATCATATTAATCCAAAATTAGGTTACACTTAAATCAGTTATTAAATATATGTACTCTCAAGAAAATACCGTAATTTATATCTTGATTTCTAAGTCTACATATATATATCGATTATATATAAATTCCTTGTGGCTAAACTCTTATTGTTTATAGTTTATGATATTAAATATAAGATAAATGTATATTATTATGTATTAATTATTACTCGTCTCATAATAATAAAACGCACAAATATATCACTTTTAATTTTGCAATAATATTCGGAAATCATTAATTTAGAATAATTAATATTATATACAGTACAAGAGACAAATAAAGAACAAAATATATTGTATTACTTTGAAAAAGGTCTTTTTCTATATTTTTTATTTAATAGAAAAATTTTGAAAACGCATGGTATATAAGAAAATACGATGTTATTATTACGATAACATTAAAATGAATAACTTAATATATAATTTGTAGAAAATATTATGTAATATATATATATATTAAATACATTGCTACATTTAAGGTATAATTACTTAAAATAATGAAATTTAATAGAAATATATAATTTTCCTTTTTACATGGTAATCTATTTCACATTTTTTTTTATCATAATAATATATAAATAATATAATTTTTTTCTTTACATCATATATATTAGGAAATTTTTGAATGATTACTACTATAAATAATATATAACCTTGAACGCCTCTTCCTAATGAAGTTATATTTTTATATATTAGTATTTTACTTTAATATCTAAGCATAATATGCAAAAATATAATATTCATTTGTATATTTTATTTCTATATTATAATAAAATATTTTTATTTTCCATTAAATGGCCATAATGAAAAATTTATAATAGAATTAAATAATATAAAATTGTATAGAAATGCATAATATATTGGATTCCTTGTGGCACTGTAGATTACCTATCCATATGACATATATTATAAAAATTAATATATATTTATTACAAGTATTATACTTAAATATTAATCATAAGATAACTTGTGTTGTAAAGAAATAATTATATTTATAAAATATAATTAATAAAAAAAACTTCAATTATATAATATTATACGAATATTCACAATGTTCATATAAATATAATATATTATGATACTAATAAAAATATAAAGAAATTTATATATGTCAGTAAAATTTTCATGTAATATAATTAGAATTTATATGTATATCAAGTGGATCTAATTTTGTATTTACAAGTAATGTATAACAAAATATTTAAAACATTGATATTTACATTTTTCAATAAATATAGTAAAAATAATTATTTAACTTGATAATTATTTATTCCCAGGATTGGATAAATATTGTAAAGCATATTATATCTAATATTTGATAAGATTGAATGATATTATTATTTAAATAAATATTCTTTCAACAAATTTTTTTTTCAACAATAAAAAAGAAATAATTTGAAGGGTTAATGTTATTAAAAATAATTTCTTGCATCATGTCATCAAAAAAAAACTTGTAAATTCATTGCTATGTAATGCATATGAATTATGGAATATTATGTTAAGTATACATAAAGCCATATATTAAAATATTGTACTATGAAAACACAAAGGTTGTAATATCCATAAGCGTAATGATATATTAGATAATATTAATTTATATGTGATGCATATATAAAATGTAAACTACGATACGGTTGCTAAATATACTTTTTTCTTTAAAAATATATATGTTAATCTATATGGTAAAATAGAAATATGCATATATATTATTATAAGAATGTATTATAATGCACCTTGTGCTATTTTTTAATGTTATATAATACTAATTCTTTGACGTCTTATGTAAGTTTATTAAAATATTGTATGATAATTTCTTTTAATAAACATTTATGCATATTAATACATAATTAACGAGTTTACTAAAGAGTGAATAATAAATCCTATTTATTATTGAATTATATATTTTATGTTGTTTACACAGATAAAGGAAAATATCAAAGAATTAAAAAATAATGTAGCAATTATTTATATATTAAAACTAGAAAAGCATATTTGCATTAAATATATATTTTATCTTCCGTATTCACTGTTTTACTGAAATTATTTAATTTTTATATAATTATTAATCTTTAATAATATATTTTATCAACACTGATCACATTTTTGTTTTCATTTTTTAATATCACTATCAATGTTGCTATATTGGCATATAATAATTAAGAAAAAACTTTATTTTTAAATAAATTTTCACTTTTTTAAATTATATTGTATAAAATTTTATGTGTATGCAAATCAGTCATGATTATAAATATATTTGGGTGTTATCAAAATTTAAAAAGTTTCCATCGTTATATTCTGTGCCTAGATTGTAAAAATTCCATATTAATTTGTTAATAAATTATATTGTGTCATATGCTTCAATGGTAATGTAATGTAAGCACATCTAATATGAGTAAGAGTATTGTACGTTTGTATTTTAAGAATAAAAATTTAAATATTTTAATATTTGAATATTATATTTTTCATAAGCCTTTTAATATATTACTCATTATAATATAATTTCCAACATATAATTATTATTGTTTTTTTCTTAGTATGGCTACATAAATTTATTTCCTGTATGTGAGAGAACTAAGAATTCTATTACAAAGGATAATGAAGGCGCGTTCAATTCAGTCTGTTTAGAAGACACTAATATATCAGAAGATATAAAATCCGATTTTAATAGCATTTGCAAAAATGTTTTGTCATATTTTAATATGATGGAAAAAGGAAAACATTCAGATAATAATATTTTGGATGGAACCTGTGTATACTTACATTATTGGTTATATCAATACCACCTTAAGGAAAAAAATAATAAAAATATCATTGCAAAAAAGCTTTGTGATGCATTGATAAATCGAAATAATATAAATGGAGATCCTATATGCGAGAATTATAAGGATTTTCATATAACAGAAGATGTGTTAAAAAAAATGAAGGATCTATATGATATGAATACTAATGTTAATAATTTAAGCAATAGTTGTACCAAAGGTAACACATGTGAATCTGCTAATAAATTTGCTTTATCATATAAGAGTTATAAGAGTGAATGTGAATCCTACAAGGATGGGGATTTTTGTAAAATATTAGATGAATATAAAAATAAATATAATTCAAAAATAATAGACCTTATTGATGATACTGCTATGTATGAAATATTATATTCATTCCAAAGAAATAATATCTTCCGTACTATTATATCAGTAATTGCTGGAGCACTATTTATACTCTTATTTATATTTATTCTTTATAAGGTTAATTATCATATATTATACATATATAAATGACACAAAATTATTTTTTAAAAATTTTAAAAAAAAAAAAAAGGATATCCTAAAACTTTATACTTGTAATAGCTCTATTTGTTTTAATTTGCATTAGTTTTGCAGAGACATTTCATGCTTGCTTCGTGGAATAATAAGAAAGAAAAATACACGCAATAATATAGATGAAGAATGGAATGTTTTAACGCTTTCTGACCCATCCCCCAACACTACAAAAAATAGAAAGCATAATATATCATATCATTCTGCCTAATTTTATCGTCATGTACATGTACTAAAGAGAATTTTTTGTTTATATATGATATAAAAAAAATTTTAAAAACTATGGTACAGAATATTATTATAACAAATTTCATAATAATTAAATAATGCTTGTAATATATTATGAATGAAACAATATTAATTTATCAGTTCAGCTGAATAATAAATCAATATAAAATATAAAATAACCTTTAATATGATATTACTTAAGGATATGAGTAATTAATATAAAGAGAAGTTGTATTTTTGTGTTTGACCTTTTTTAATATGCAACATTTTGCATATTCTTATTTTTTTTTTCTTTTTCTTTTTATTGAACGTGATGATATGAGGTACCTTGTCTGTTCTATTAAATCATAGTAATATATTTGATGTTGTTTTTAGTACTACTAACTATATATATTTATTTTTTGTCTTATTTATAAGTAATACTTTTCAAAAGAATTTACATGTTTGTTAAGGGACATTTATTTGGCTTAGATTTGTGGTTATGGCATTTGGATTTCTTATGAACCATCTTGTCGTCATAAAATTTAGGGTGCACCTTTAAGAGTTGGTAGTTCTTGTATTATTATTTAAAATTTTTTCATCTTTTTAGTTATACCTTATTATAATTTACTTTAATTGTATGAAAATACAATGCGCGTTATACATAAATTATAATTAGAAATATAACCATAATAATGAGCTGATTCTTTTATATAATTTAATATCTTAATTTTATATATATGTGTGTGTATATTATATTTTTTAACGTATATATTTATTTCTATTAGGATATTGGATTATATAATCTTATTTTAGTAGAATTATGTAAATATATTTCTATATATATTAATGTTATATAAATAATAATATTTGTATTTATTCATATTATTTCTGCGTATTATTTATATATTTAATAATTTATCATTTATTTTGTAATATATTATAAAGATTCAAGGCTGTATTGAAAGCATGGTTTATAATTCACAACTTTCATAATTTAAATATTTATGTGTAATTTTTTATTGTGTATTATTCAAGAACAAATTTTCATTAATTTGTAATCTTTATTTTTTATATATTATGACGTGGTTTTACTGAAAAGCATATGTACTCATTTTGATAAGTGAAAGCTAATAACTGACTTATAATATAACACCACAAATATATACCACTCTATAAATATGAAAAATTAATATATGAGATGGGTGTTTTTCTAATTGAAAATGTGACAAATATTATTTGTATAATGATTGTGTCTTATTTTCTTAAAATATTATATAATACGCAAACTACATAAAATATATGTAGACCTAATAAATATATTAATTATTAATAATTTGTGGAAAAATGCGTTTAATTTCTGTGAAAATGGATATTTTTCGAAAATATGTTCATTAATAAATTTTAAAAAAAATTATCTACTTATTTACTGAGTAGATGCGGTCAGAAATTCATTCGCAATTATATAAATTTTGTATTAAATACAAATTGTTAATATTTCAAGTTACATTATATTCTTCTATTTAGTGTTCGTCTTATTTACTATAAAAGGTATATATATTTTATTTATAAATTTAGCATAGTTCATGTTACATTCTCTTTTTATATTATTTAAATAACATATAAAAATAAATTTTTAAATGCACATTTTCTATTATGAATTTCATAGAATAGTACAGCGAAAAAATAACGCAATTTCATTTGTCAAAAAGTAAATTGCATGAAGTGTAGAATATAAAAATATATAGATGAAGCTTTATTTTTTCTTCATTACAAAGGATTAATCAATAATTATGACACTATCACACAAAAATAAAATAAAATTTTGTAACATAATGACCTGTAACACAAAAATAAAATAAAATTTTGTAACATAATGACCTGTAACACAAAAATCAAATATAATAAGTAAAAAATTATATATTCAAGACATAAAATTATTTAAAATGCTCTTAATGAGAAGTTCAAAAAATTATATTATATTTTCATTATGTACGATTATTCTCTATTGTCAATTCAACCATTACATCACTGCAAATGCAAGATAATGATAGACATACACATAAATGTGTACAAGCTCTAATACGAAGAAGTGTTGAAGATAGCTGTAAGATTGTTCTAGAAACTATATATATTAATTACGAGAGGAAAATATTGAGAATAATCTTTCCAATTGGACACGAGTTACAAAATAATTGGTAAACATATAATAATATATCAGGGAATCAGTTGATATATTTTAATAAGCGTTATAATATAACTTTAAATATAAATAATGTAACTATTCATTTTTCACAGCTAACTTTTATTTTTGTGTGTTTTAATTATGATTTTTTTTGGTAAATCTTTCTATATTAAATTAATTTTTATATTAATTTTATATTATAGTATAAATTATTCACCATGATACATAGTTATTAAAAGTGTATGTGGAAAAAAATATAATACAGTAGAATCTTCATTCATGCATGTGTCTTCTTTTATTTAGTAAAAATATTCATATTGTGCCGAAATTATTCATAACATATATACATATTTTAAAAATATATTATTTTGTTTTAAAATACTCTCTTTTGATTATTACAATGAATTATAAGTTATTTGTTCGTTAATACTCACAATAAATGTTTTCAATTTTGTAATAACTGTTAAAAAGACAGTAAATAAAAAAGGATGAAATCATATTACAGAGAGAAAGTAATTAAAAAAAATGTAATTTTTTCATAAATGTTAAAACATAACAAATGTGAATGACGCGCTTTTGTTATTCACAAAAAGCATTACAGTACTATTCGTCAGTGATTAAAACTTATGTCAAATAAATTGATTTAATATCACTTCCATACAAATATAGAACAATAATAGTCGTATTTAAAAGTTACATGTACATACCCTTTTTTTATTTCTAACATCCCATAAAAGGACTGTTTCCAATAATACAAAAGATAAATTAAATAATAAGAACGAGTTACAAACCATAAATATAATGTACCTATTAGTTCAAACAAATGGAAATAATATATTTCATATACTACATATAAAAGCTCGAGCCTAATGCTAATAATTTTCAAAACTTATTGTTTAATATCATTTATTGAATGTTATTAAGAATGACACTATATATTTTTATATATATTTTTTAATGAAATATAAAGGATGTTGAAAACAAAATGATATAATATTAAAGTGCCTAAGAATAATTCTCTGTGGATTTATAAGTTATTTAGATATTTTTAAATATAAATTATGATGAAATATATTTTCAATTCTAGCAACTTCTAATGTAATCGAACATATTTGGTGAACATGTTGATTTTCCTTAATCATCTAGTCTTAAATAAATTTAAGTTTTAGTTCCAACAACACGCATGTATAAGGATTAAAAAGAGTATAACAATATTATATGATTATAACAATAATAAAAAAAATAATGTGACAAGTATATAATACTTACATCAACATATTTATAACTGTACATAAATATGTGAAAATTAGGCGATAAGAACTAACACTTCGTCTAAACCATAATCACCTTATAAAAAATTAGGTATTCTTCCTCTTTACAATTATACATAATTCATTTCAAAAAATAATGTTTTTTGGTTTTATAAAAATACTTTTTTTTCGAATTCAACACTTTGATACATTTAAATTAATCAAATTCTAAAGTTATTAGACTTTTATTATGATTAATAAGACAGTATTTTACTAAAAAATCATGTACATGGAATCTTTTATTTATGTTCCTTTTATAATTATTGATGTTACATATCCTATAAATATATATTATTCACATTTATTGTTTTTTCCATGTAATTCAGTAGTGCTATGTTTCCTCACGTAATAAAAATAATAATTTATAGTAAATACAGTATTTTTAATGTAAACGGACGCATTAGGGACTGTATCACAATAATATTTTCATAGCAACATTCATTTATAAAAAGACGAAAAAAAGGTCTCTGTATAAATTATTAACGCTTTAAATAAATTCAGATAAAAAATTAAGTATAACAATATAAAACAAATCTAAAAAAAAATATATCAATTAAAACAGAAAAATACAAGCATCTAAAAGGAATACTTTAACAAATAATGAGCTGTGATATTCGGGTAAAAAGTTAAAGTTCAAATATTTTGTAATCAGAATGTATATATTATGAATGTATGCATTATAATAAGTTTTATATATTATATTAAAATTGTGGGTTTTATTCTTTAAGTATCAGTTCTATTTCCTTTACTCTAAGATGCAATTATATTCATAATACTCAGAAATATCTCATTTAAGTTTAATAACACATGTAAAAATAAAAATTACAACTGTTATACATTCTATATTATAACAGTATATAGTGCAGGGATGTAGATAATTGCTAAATACCGTTACATCCGCGTTTTTATTTATGATGCATATTTTTATAAAAAACATTATAAACCTAGAGGAAAAATAAATTTTTTTTTTTAATCCT